CTCCTCTGTCTTGTCACCTTACTCACTCTTCCAAATTCCCCACACATCAGATGTCTTATCCCAGTCTACTTTTTTGCAGGGGTGGCAAAAAGTCTCATAAATTTTAAAGTTGAGAATGTGCCAAATCTGGTTATAATGCCATAGGCTAGTATTTTTGAGGATTTTTTTTCATTATTTCAAAATTTGCTTGCAACACATATTCTAAGTTTGTTCTCCCCAGCAGCTGAGCTGTCTTAGCTGAACTCCTCCCCAAAATCCTACTACCAAAGCTCCTGATTTTAAAAAAAACCAGGCAACCCCCCAAACAAATACCTTATAGTTTTGCAGAATTATGTACAATTGAAAACAAGGTCTTAATAGTAGGTTGTGAGCAGTTTTAGGGAATGTTGTGAGGTCTATTGATGATAAAATTTATGAAGAAATTCTAATCTCTAGGCCTATACATACATACACACACACATACATGTGTGTATTCCTGCCAACGTACACTTTCACTTCACAGTAAATGTGTAATGGCTCACCCTTTCATTGAGAGAGGAATAGTCTTGGTTACTACAGGACAGAATCATGCATGTAAACCATTACTGTGGATTATCTGATACAGCATAAATTCACTGCCTTTGGGCTTGAAAGTGACATACCCTGACTTCCTACCTTGTATGCTGTTTGCTTGTTTAACACAAAATAAAATAAAATAAAACCCAAGCAATGAACAGAACCTTTGTCTGATGAGTCTCATACTTGCTGCTGTGGTTGTAAGGTCCCCTTTGTGCTGGAGTAAGCTCTCGCCTGGATATTTTGCGCTGCAGGGGAGGGCTTGCACTGAAAAAATTAGCTGTTACAGATTATTATTTCTAATGATAGTCACAATACTAAACTTTTACTGGTAACTTGGGACCCAAATGGAGCCTGTCCCTTAAACATAATGGTTTTAGTTTCAAAAGCATATCCTAGTATTGTAAAGTTCCTGTTGTGCATTTAGTTGTCAACAGTGTTTCTCCTAGGGGATAGCACTTTAAAAACAGCTGATACATCTCAATTGGCCTTTAAGTATTTTAATTCAGTAACAGTCATCAGAGGGCTGCAAATGACACTGCAGTAGCATTCCTGTATCTTCTGGAATGTAATAAAACCTCTGAGGAGTTTAGTTTGTATGTCATACTGTAAAATAAAATTAGGTGGTTTCTTCCCCTAAGCAACTTATTTTTAACTCTGAAGCTCTTCGAGTCTATTTTCGGTTTTGTTTATGTAAAAGGGAGAGTAGAATATTGCATTCATCTTAGTAGGATTATGCTGTGCAAAGCAGATGTTAAGCTCCTGTAACACACAAAGGGAGCTTTATGTTCTTTCACATCTGTCTCTGCATAAACAGCTCTGTTAACTCTTTAGCGCTCATGTGCAGAGCTCCTTGCTTCTATTTATTAAGAGACTACCTTAGGAAGGACTGATGGGGTCCTCGTTTCACGGAAAAAACCTTGAGAACCAAACCGAAGACAAATACTGCCCTCTTTGACTGTGTGAGCTGCCAAAGGAAAGAACATCCCTGTCTGTAGAGGTCCAAAGAGAGAGCTTGGGAAGGTTGTTGTGTTTTACTGCCTTGCAGCTTATACAAACAGTGCAATAGTAAGTCAAAAGCACTTTCTTAAAGCCTGTGTTGTAAAGCTGCTTGGCATTTCATCTTGTAGGCAGTTCTTGAGAGGCTCTTTGCACTAGAGAGGGGTTTGAACTCTTGTGTCTCTGTGCCAAAATCCATTAATGAAACTTCTTCATACCAAATTGATATACATATTTTCTTTTTTGTAGAAACTGAGAAGTATCACTTTGTCAGTAGAAACAGTACAGTATTCTCTGTTGTACTTTTCCTACTAAGATACCACCTTTAGCTTAAATTGAAAAGCTCTTTTCAGCCTTTTAGACTCTAATGAAGCTTTTTTTCCCTTTTTTGATCCTGATTTATCATGGCAGTAGAATATGAATGCTTAGAAATGTCTTTCACTAGGTGCACGTGGTCTGTGTTAAGTCACCTTTTCATGAATTGCATCTTAAATCCAGTAACTAAACTACCTGTGCTGTGGATTTGGTGCAGTGTTGTGTAATGGCTTTACTAGGGTGGGAAGGGTGGAGAAAGCGTACGGTGGTGCTGAGGGTTGGCCTTGAACACTTGGAGAATCTCAGCACAGCATGAAGCATCACCATCTGCAAAACTTTGTCCTGAATGAATCCATAGAAGGGTTTTACTACTGATTTCGGTAGGAATAGGCTTCCATCCTTTCTGGGTTCCACATAATTAGTGCTTAGCTACATAAAAATTTGCACCAGTTGAATTAAATCAGTTTAGTTTCGCTACAGTGAGCATTTGTAGTGACACTGGCATTGTTTTGTCTGGTGGATGTCACCTGCCCATGGCTGATTTAAGTGTGAATGAAAAAGTCACTCTTGTACTGGAATATGTATCCTAACAAATTTAAATTCACACTCAGCACTTCTTCATATCCAGACAAAAGACAAGCTTCCACTAATGGGAGAGAATAGTTTAGTTTCCTCCTTTATGTCATTTAACATTGTGCAGCCCACCACAGCAGAACAATTTGTCAGTACTTTATAGCAGAAATGTAGCCCTAGGCTTTCTCCCATTGCCTTGCCGTGGTGTACTGGCCTCTCCTGCAGGACCTCTGGACCCCACAGTGGTGGGGTGTCCGCTCTGTTTCTCCAAAGGCCTGCGCCGAAAGGGAGCCTCGCTTTGCTGCAGTCGGCTCCTGCTCATCTGGGGAGGAGCTCAGAGCTGTCAGATAGCATTACTTGGCAGCTAGATTGGATGCGCTATCAGTTTAATATATGATTTATTTAGGAATAGTCTACTTCTATAATAGTTAAGTGCTGTACCTGAGAGCTGAGACTGCCTGAGGCTTGGATGGGGTAAGATTGTTCCTTTTCGGTTGGTGATGTATTGCTGTCTAATGGGATATGATTGTATACTGGTAAGAAGCTGAAGGAAAATTTGCTGTTAGGATGATGTTGCATTTAAGTCTTCTTTTGGTATCAAAGCAGCCCTGCAAGTTATTGCAGATCTGAAAGTCAGTAGAACTGTTTCTACAGATTTTTAGTTATATTCAAAATGGTTCTTAGTCTGGATTTAAATGCTCCCCTGAAATTTTGGAGACATGGGGTTATTGGAGAATAACCCTAATCTACAAAACCCAGAAAGTAAAATTAACTACTTCAGTTTTGCTACTCAAAAAGAACAAGATGTAAAAGGTAAAGCAAGAAGGAAATCTAGATCTTAAAACTAGTTCTTTTATGGTTCATAGAGGGTTTTTTAACATGTCAAATTACAAATCATCTTTAATTGCTGAGAAATCTATAGCAGAAAATACTAGGTTTTGCAGCAAAATATTAGTTATCAGCATTCTTGTACACTGCAAAATCTGTGGTGTCCTCATAGACTTGCTTCTGTGTGGTACACAATGAAATTCCACTTGTCTGAATCATTTGAGTAAGATTTTGCAGAAAAGTTTTATCCTTCTCAGTTTTAAGTCCACTTACAGTGACCAAATGTTCAAACAGAGGCAAGCTGAATGAATGTGCTCTTTGATAAAAGATAACAAAGCCCGTAACTGAGCAGCTTTGCTGCTCTTTGGGCAAGCATGGCTGATTTAACTCGGTACATGTTTATGAATCCCCAAACTAACTGTACTTATTATACTTGAGTCATGCTAAACAAATAAATCTTTGCATCTCAGGAGCTCAGTGTGTGTTTCCAGAGGCTGGCATGCATTTTCTTTACATGGTTGCAGGAATGGCTTGCTTAACCTTTTAATTGGCAGGAAAAAAACTCACTTCATGGCCTAAGCCACAATCATCTCTGAATAATGTAAACAGTGATGACCTGAACTTGATCTTCTAGACAAGGGACTCCGTTTTCTTGGTAGTTGCATTATACAGACAAGCTAATGCTCTGGGGTCAGCGAGGGGCTTTTGTACATCCAAGCACAATAAAGCTAGAAAGTGTTTCCTGCTGTTTAGCTAATTAATGCGGGGTACCACTCCCTAGGAGTCAGCCGTGGTTTTGCTGCCTGTCACTGCTATTGTACTGCCTGCAGAAGGATACAGAGCAAGGCATGTGGTAAGGGAATAAATTCTCTGTCTTGCTCCACCTATTGCAGGGCAGAAAAAAACTTAGGGAAATCAGCTATTGATTCATTTGGTGAGAAGGGAAAAGATATGGTACTGGAATGGTCAAAGCATATTTCTCAGAGTTGTAAATAAATAACAAAAATAAATCGGTAATACCTTGCATGTGCTGTGATGCTGCCAGACCAGAATTATCTGTATGTGTCCTTAAATTGCCCTCCCTCCTGACACTGGAGGGCGCATCCGAAAGGAAAAGATTGGCATCTTTTCCCTATTAGACTTTTCCCTTAAATCATGTTTTATGATGTACTGTAGAATAAAGGATTTTATTTGATATTTTAAGAGCACATGTAGCTTTGTTACATCTTGTATTTTCTACTGCAAAGCAGTGAGTTCCTTTTCAGTAGTAAATGTAGCAAAATACACAAAGGCATTTAAGAGCCTGCTCTGATCTTGTATTCTGGTCATGTATAGGCAGATTGTAAAGAGAAAATCTAAGGTGTCATAGTGAACAGTGTGTATTGCATACTTGAGCAGTAAGGGAGCTAAATCATCTTAATTCTTGCTAGAACCTAGCTGGGTACGTGCTGCCACTGTGGCCACCTACTTTCTCAGCAAGTTTTTAAGTGGATTATTAACTAAGTGTAAGGCTGTTTGCAGCATCTTAAGTTTGACAGGCATGTGATTGTGCAGGGGGGGAGGGTAGAGGAAAAGGGTGGTTGGTTTCAGACAAGAGCTTTTCATAGATTAATGTCTTTCAAACAATATCTTGTAGTCTTGTTCCAGATTAAAAATAAATAAAACAAATGGTATATGGGTTTCATGCCCAGACAATAACTCTTCTGTATTTTTTTTTTTTTCCCTCCCAGAACTGCTTAATAAAACATGATGAGAATGGATACTCAGCAATAGTGGGAGACTTTGGGTTAGCAGAGAAAATTCCTGATCACAGGTATGTGAACTAATTAAAATACAGCAATAGTTGCAGTGCGATTGCAGGTCAGAAGCTCTAATGAGCCAGATCCCTGAGGCCATTAATGCATTCTGATACAAAATTTGCAACAAATATCCTTAGTCTTCAGTCTAGAACTGCAGGCTGAACGCCCAAAATGTTCCAGCCTTAATTACTGTCCAATTTGATAGATTTAGTGGTGACATGTAGTCCTCAAATATGCTCCAGTGAGAACTTTTCTCAAGCTTGATACAAGCACTCAAGTCTTTCAGTAGATCTTCTAAGCAGGTCCTTGGGAATTTTTGTTTAAAAAAAAAAAACACAACAAAGCAAACACAAAAATATTGTCCAGCATTCTGGATTGGAATGATTTTGTATTAAATATCCTCTGTTGATTCTAACCAACTTTAATTTAGCTTCTTTCCATTTTCATAAACAATATTCAGTGGCATTCCAGTATTACTCTCTTTAACCTCTAGGTTAGTTGTTAAGATCCAGGTTTATAACAAAGTGATAATAAAATTACTGTCTAACAGAGAGATTTCGTCTCCCTCGGATGAAATTATAATCTTAACTCATTTGAGGAATGTACAGGTGACTGTCACAAGCTATTGTCACAATTGGGAATAGTTCTTTTGTCATCCCTCCATTAAGGAGATCAAGGACAAGGAGTGCATTGTTCTCTCTGTATATTGACTTGTGTATTTCAGATTATTCTGACTGTGAAATGTGCTGTCAGATTTTCTCCAGTGTGTGCTTTTGCATAAAATAAATAAAAGCCTTCCAGCTCTTTTGACTGCAAAGAAAATAATGCAAGTTGATCTCAGCTATGGAATGTTTTTAAACTGCACATATCCTAAAACCGTATCTTGGGAGGTCTGCAGGCTTGCCTTAATGTTAATGAAATACTGATCTAAAAGCTTAACAAAGTGAACATCTTAATTTCCAAACTACTGATAAGTACAGCCAATGTGCATCTTGTACACTCCTGTGGAATCTCTGCCCTTTAAGGTGCTGAGAGCTTCAGCTGTATTTGTAGGAACCCATTGCAAAATCAGGAGGGCACTGGAGGTTATCTTAAGGTGTTCTTAATACCCAGTTTTGAGATGCCCTGCAAACTGAGAGTACAGGAACAGCTAAAGTTAAGGTAGCTTGATACTAAAGCGAACATTGTAATAAAATTGTTACACTAGCCACCATTTTGGTTTGATCTAGTCTCAATTCCATTTTCAAATGCAGTTTTGTTGTTTCCAATTTGCTGGCTAGCAAGCCATGCTATTTTGAGGCCCTCAGGAGCCTTTTTTTTTTTTAATAGGTATTCCTTGAAGGTCAGCTGGGTGGCAAGCTGGAGGCCCCAGTATTCAGCCAAATGGAAACATTGCAGCTTTTTTCAAGTTGGCTCTATCTGATTACTTTTAATTTTTCCCTATTAAAAGATTCATCTGGTCAGTCTTGACTTTTTTTTTTTTTTTTTTTTAAATACAGTTCGCAAGCAGGCTGTGCTAAATATTTTCTGAGCTGCTTATTGGTATACATGTAGGGATGGATACCTGCATGTATTGCTGCGTGAATGGGTAACTTGACATCTAGCCTGAAACTGATGTCCACAAACCTTTCTATGTATAGATGAAGGAGCCAACTCTGCCAAGAGTTTGGAAACCAAAACTATTGAACAGCCGTGACCTTAAAATATTATTTTTTTTCCGGAGTGGCCAAGGCACTTAGAAACTGGAAATAAAATACGAGTAATTGATTGAAGCTTTCCTTTTCTTTCACCTTCTCCTCCTGCTATTGAAAGTTCCAGTGACTCCAGTAGGAAACCAGAATAAAATACAGTATGTTATGGAACCCATTTGTATCGACTTCCTTCTGATGAAAGTTTCTACAGATACTTGGAGTTATGGAAAGTTAGAAGCAATACCTGAGCATTTAATTAATGGTTCTTCTCTCTCTCCCCCCACCCGCTCCCTCTTTTCCCCCTATCTGTCCCATATCTATATAGTGAGAAGTTACCAGTGGTGGGGTCACCCTTCTGGATGGCACCAGAAGTTCTCAGAGATGAACCTTACAATGAAAAGGTAGGTACATGATATAAATGGACTTAGTTGTCAGATGTTTCTCTTCAATAGCTGTATACAAGATTTAGAATTTCCATAATATCAAAATGACTGTTATTTTCATTTGTGACATTTCTGTACTCAGTAGGTCATTCAGACTAAGGGAGAGTGTGATTTAAATAGCTAATATTTTTAATTCATGGTGTGGATTCTTATATAGAAATAGAATTACCTTTAGCGTAATTTACGGTTACGCTATTTCCATTCTGAAACACCCCACATGCAGAAATATGGTAATGGCTTGTTGACCTAACGCAACTTAATTTAACCAAGTCTTACGAGAAATGTAGCGAGGTTGCTTCCCTGACCATCCATTAGTGAAATCTGGGTAGAAGTAAAAGGTCTGTATGCAAACTTGTACAGTTATTTTAATTAAAAAAACAAACAAACAAAACCAAAAAACATTTCTCAAAGTGAGATACCTGGATAAAAATGTTCCCCAAAGGTATTTCTAAGTTTTCCTATTTGTGGCATTGGGAAATGTTTCTTTCAGAGGAGGATCAGATCACACTGGATTTTAGAAATAGTATTTTCAATCAAGCTCTTCTTTACACAGGATTTTCTCTCCTGTGTGTAACATAGTCTACTTCAGCCCTGCAAGTGCAGCTTCTCTGTGATAAAGCCCACATCCTGTACCTTTTTATAGCTAGTGGTCAATAATCTGTTTAATTGGTGGTACTTTTAACTTGCAGGAAAGCAGCAGCTACGACAGTACTGAATGTAATAATTACCATTTCAAAGCTTTTCTAAGAGTTCAAATTGACCTAAATTAATAATAAAGTACCCAAATCTATGGTGCCACATTCTTCACTAGCCCTAGGGCATGGAGGACTAAAGAGGAAGCAGGTCTCATACCTCATCAGCATGAAAGGTGGCATATAAACCTACCTGATATATAAGGGTTGACAGATGTCGGCTTCTGCTCTGCAGAATTGCGTTCCATGTTTTCCTAAATGTTATTACGTGGTAAATTCAGGTGGGTAGAAATCTGAGGAACTGTGCAGCTCCAGGGGTATTCAGATAAGTGATTACTAAGAGTCATGGAAATTTCAGTGAAAATTGATGCTAATATACAGTGTTAGTAGATATCTCAAGCTTTGGGAAAGACACTGTTTTCTGTAGAGGTACTGAACTGTGAGAAGAAAAAAAAAAAAGTAATTTTTCTTAAAAACAGCATTGATGTCCTGGATAAGCTGTGTTCATGTGTATTCTAAACCCATCTTTCTAACTACAGTGATATATAGGCATGTCATGTTTTGGCTATGTTTTTAATTACTCCCATCTGTAAGACATCAAATGGAACTTCACCATCCTTTATGCAAGAAAGGATTCTTAACATCTTTTTTCACACTGCCAAATTAAGAATGGTTTGGTGTGTTTTTTCTTTTTTTCTTTAAAGATTTTTAAAGTTATTGGTATTTGTGCAACAAGAATGCTTTACTGTGAACATGTGTTTCTTCACATGGAAAATGTTAGCTGTAATGCAGTTGCTTAGTGTTGTAAGGCTGTGGTGTTGGTTTAGTTGTTTCACGATAACCATTTGGGGTAAGGAGAAACTCAGTGGCAGATAAGAATGCTGAGTATTCATAGCTGAACCATGCGGCTATTTATTTTTTTTCTCTCTCAGGCGGATGTGTTCTCCTATGGTATAATTCTGTGTGAGATTATAGCAAGAATACAGGCAGATCCAGACTATCTCCCTCGCACAGAGGTAAGTGGTTATGTTTATAACATTGGTGGGAGGTGGTAAGTATGCCATGATAATGGCTGGCCTTTAGAACTTCTGGCACTGCTGCCAAAGATACAATGAATAGGTGTTACATTAAAAATAGCCTGTAAAAGGCTTTTGTTCTTCTGTGCTGTTATTGTAAGAAGGTCCATTGAAGACACTTTCACAGAGACTTTCCAGCTGCAGTCCTCATGGGAAATCCTTTCTGGCCCTAACTGGCAGAACACTGAGAGCATTGCAGTGACCTTCCTTTTGTAGAGTGATAGCTCATGCAGACTTCTTGCCAGATTCAGAATAGAGCACTTTGGCACACTGCATCCCCTAAGCAGTCCCTCCTTGTGAAAGGGGCAGGAGCTATGTTAGCAGCTAAAATAAGCTAACCTTTTTTTTTGCACAGACAGTGCTAAGCACAGTGGATCTGAGCTAGAATCAACTAATACTTCCTTCAGTTGCCTTTTGGTTGCATCCCATCTGCAGGGCAGTTTTTGGCCCTCTGTAGGGGGTGTCTTTCAAATTGTCTATCCCCCTCTGATTCTGAAAATGCAAAATCGCTTAGGTCTTGAACTGCAGTAAATATGAGATACTTTTGTTTCTCTGCCCTTCAGATTTTATAGAAGTGCATTTAAGGGACTGGATAATTTGTATTACCAGTCTACCATCCACTGAAAAATTAACCATTTTTATTGATAAGTTTTCATCATAGCGAAGCCTCTGGTTTTATAACAGGCTGTCAATTTACACTGTGAAGGTCACTATGGTGAAATAGTGTAAGATACTGCTTCCAGTTCCACACAGGCAACACTTCAAGTGCAGTGGATTGCAGTTGAGTCCAAGAAGAAGGATGGGCTTTGAAGTCAGTGCATTCTCTTACAGGTATCTTGTATCGAGTAATCCCCACTGGGAATGTTGCAGTTCAGAGTATGCATGAAGTTTTCTCAAAATCCTCTGTATGTGGCTGCTGAGAGATTGTGTTCATGGTTATTCCTGATAACTCCATGTAGGGACCCACTGAAAAGAAGATGCTTTGGACCAGATAGCAGATCTCATTTATATCTCTGTGCTGTGTTTTTGTTTGTACAGAATTTTGGATTAGATTATGATGCCTTCCAGCACATGGTGGGAGACTGTCCCCCTGACTTCCTCCAGCTGGCCTTCAACTGCTGTAATGTGAGTATCTTACTTGAAGGGGAGAGGCCTAAACTGGAGCTTTCTAAATCTCTCTGGCTTTTGAAGATAGAGCTTAAAGCATGTACAGAAGAGACTTGAAGAGCCTACCTATAAAAGCAGAGTACGTTCTGGTAACCCAGAAAGTACCTTGCAGTTTTTATAACCCTTCCCCTTGCAGAAAGGTCTATCTTGTGTTTTGCAATTGTGTGTTCTGTCATGCCAAACAAACAGGTCTGGCACACTGAACAGCTTCTTGCAGGCTGCTGAGGCTGATCATAACCAGTTGTGTGCTATTGACACTGGCTGGCCCTCAGGCTGACAAAATCCAGCTGTTATTGTGTACAGATCTACTGAGCTGTGAAGAAAGAACTCCGAGTTGTTCTCACAAACAGAGGGGACAAACAAATCAAGAGCAGGGACTAAACTACTCTAAAGTTTCTACATGCTGCCTTTTGGAAAGTGGAATAAACCTCCAAATCCCTAGCCTGTGTTCCAAAAAACCAAACTTGGACCCAAATGATTTAATATCAGTAAGGCAATGCACTGTATGGAGTAAATTTTCTGCCAATTAATGAAGTAAAATTGTGATAGTTGGTGCTGGATGCCATCACGGCTCCTCAGTGTGAAAATTCCAAAGTAGAAGATCTTTTTTGTGGGTTATGCCATAACAGAGGTTACTAATACCTTTGTATAGTAAACTGGTTTATATGAAGTAAGAGAACCTGAGCTTCCACTAGATTCAGCTGAAGTTGGGAATGTCCAGTTTGTACAACTTAAGTTGTGGCAACTCCTAAAAATTTTATTGCACAAAACTTTGCCCAGGACTCCACAACAAGGCCATGCTAGAGCAAATACCAGCACTGTGTCCGAGTGTTTGTAAGAAAAGTCTCATTTCTCCATGCTCTTGATGCTTATTTTTGTCCTGAGCTCGCTCTCTTTATTTTGTATTAGTACAAATGCACATGCTCAAGGGGAGAGTGTATAAAGGTGAGGATGTGAGCAGGTATGGGGGGACAGGACTACCACTTTTGACACAAGATAGCATAATTTAATTCTAAAAATGTTTATGGAACTTACTCTGGACAAGCTACTTCATTCCTCTGATTTCACCTTAGTACAGCGGAGCTTACCTCACCAGGACGGTGGTATGTCTGACTCATGCTTATGAAGTGTTTTGACTGTTGTAAGCACTAAAGGGTTTGGCTAGAGGTAGGACTTGACTTTGGAAATCTCAGCTTCCACCCGTATCGTACTGCACCCAAACACGCAGTGCATGATTCAAAGCAATTTTTCAGCACAGTTGAAATTCAGGGTAAAACATGAAGAAAAGGAAAGTGACTGATCTTATGTTGTCATATAAGAATTTGATGTGTTCATAGAAAAAGGATTTTCTCCTACTCATTGTTGTCAAATGCTGCTTCCTGTATAATAAACGTCCCTTCCCTGAATTGAAAGTGAAAATTACTGCCTTGTGATCAAGCCATTAATATGCTGATTTCAGCATGGAGCATGCTGTAATTCATTTACCTAGTAGGAGAAAGGTGGTGAGCAGATAAGGTTTTTCTTATATCTTTCCAGGCATGCCGTGCTTCAGTAATAGGTGATCTGTGTGCTAATTTGCTCTTAGACTGGCTATTTATATAACTTTTTATTATTTAATAGGTCAACAAACAGTGTAAATGGTATAGCTCAGCTGATGAGCTGAACTAATGTGCAAAGCCCTGTAGTTTTGTACAGCCAGGAAACATGTTTTAGGGCAACCTTAGAAAACCAGTAAAAACTGACATGTATGAGTAGTGGATTAAAATTTCTTCAATTTGCTGTTATAAAGTGTTATTTTTTAAATAAGTACATGCAATGAAGTCTAAAACTTAAGGCTCCCCAGCAATTATAAGCCTACTTGTGCTAATACTTAGGAGCATAATCATGTATGATCATGCAAAAAGCTTACCAGCATGAGATGAGCTGTGGGCCTTGAGGAAGAACTTTCTATTCCATTTGAGCAGAACCTGGACTGCGACAGAAGAGGCAAATGTTGCTTGCTCTGAGTCACTTTCCCATAGCTGCTCTTGTCCTGGATCTTACCTAGCACAAATTAAAATAGCTAGAGAGCTCTTCTTACTTCCTGTAGCTTGCAACAGCTCCCTGAGTTTCCCAAATTAGTAAGTTTGTCAGAGTACAGTGTGTGTGCTTTGGTGTTGCCCCTGCCCTACTCTTTCAGTGAAATTGGGAAAGCAGAAGATGATGTTTACGTATGCCAGGAAATTCCAGCTGCTGCATTAGAACAACTTTCTTGCTGCCCTTGAGCTCTTCAAGTGTGATTTTTGTGTTTGGTTTTTATTACTGTATGTATGAATTTTTAGCCCTTTACCCTGTGTTGCTAGAAGGTGTTCTGGCATTGCTGATCACGGCAGTTCTCTTCAGAAAGATCCATCTTGTAGGACCTGCCAAAGTAGTATCAGGGAGGTCTTTCGGGTTTTTTGTTTGCAAAGCACCACTGTTCCCTTTGTACTAGTGGTAAGATCTGTCTGGGCTTGTCTGCTCTGAAAAAGCCTTTAGAGGGCTGGAAGCAGGAATCAGGTCAAGCAGAATCTTTTTTAATAGGGAAATGAGGTTAACTTTCAGCTGCTGAATTAGCATTGCTACCTACAGTGGTTAAATCTGTAACATATATACAGGGCCGATGTTCAAAATGATGAAATGAGTTACTGCTTAAATTAAGCTGCTTGCCCTCTAGTACGATTTTAGTGTTGGGCTTCATTTGGAGATCCATTTCTACTAGGGTGAATAAATAAATACATGCTGATAAATACAAACCAAATACATACTGGTGATGGGGGGGTGGTATTTTACTTGGGCAAAGATGGGGTTTTTTCTATTGTGTTACTTTGTCAAATTATATAACCAATCTTCCTTCCTCACAAGACAGGCCAGTTACACCAAGTAGTAAGGCTAATTAACAGATGGAAAGATACATTTTAAACTTTAAAATCAGCAATGCCATTTAGGTGGGTTTTAATTAAAGCCACAAGGAGATGATGGAAGAATTACAGACTTTTAAAGAATGACATAGGCAAGTTGCTGTTTAATCCTTACTGCTTCAGGCACATTTTGAAATAACATTCGATATATAATCTCTGATGGATAACTGGAGTCCAGAAAGAAATTCTTGAACTATGAAGCTGTTTAAAATGAACAAACCAACCAAGTCCTCTCTGAAGCCCTGAATCTAACAGCTTCCCACCTTTTCAATTTAAAATGCGTCCTCATCATAGAATGTTTACAACTTGATAATTAAATCTGAGAGGTATAATGTATATAAACTGGGACAGAATACTACTTGTCTTCTGCTTAGTTTTTTTGCAACGACAACACACTTCTTAAAACAGTCTTGAATTTCCTCACTTCCTTCACATTGTCCTTCTGTCTGTCCACTGGGTAAGTAGAATAGCATTGACAAACCCACATGAACTTATTTGATTTCTGTGCATACACAGATGGATCCAAAGTTGCGTCCTTCATTTGCTGATATTGTCAAAACACTGGAGGAGATTTTAAACCGCCTGAGAAATGAGGACTCGGAGAGAGAAAGAAAGTTTTTGAACCTTGACAACAGTGAAAGAAAACCCAAAGGTAAGTGTCTGTATTGTACAAACATTGCTGCAGGCTAACAGCAAGAGGGTACAGTGCTTCATATTTTGAAGACTGGGATTTTGCTCAAAACCTAAAAATTATTCTGGAACAATGCTATATACTTTGCGCTGCAGAGTGTCCTTTGGGAAAGAACAGCTAACTGTTTCTTAAAGTGCCTGAAAGGATTCTGCCCACAAGTTCTTGAGGAGAAATTCAGAGTTTATTTGGGAATGATTTTGTAAGTTGCTAAATAGTATATGAAAATCCATCAGCTTTTCCTTTGTCCCTGCCACACATAGCACATATACATAATTTCTTTGGTGTATGTTACACGTAACACTTAAAAGCTTCTTAAATTCCTTCAGGAGGAACAGCAGAGAAGATGCAAGAGTATTATAAATTACCTAGAAATACTCTGAAAGACTGGGGAAAAGTTGAATCCCCGATCTGCTTGGGAATGCTGGCCTTGAAGGGCTTTCTCTAAAGCTGTCTGGTGCCACCTGGTGTGGGGAGCAAACTGCAAGCAGTTCTTGTAGGCTGGGTCATGTTCTGATTTAGATATCTTTTATGTTAGGAGACTTCTGGCATTGGAAACTTAGAGTACAGTAAAAATAGTTTCTCATATTGTGTATATATAAAAACACAATATATACACATATATATCTATCTGTAATATGGTTATAGATTGAAATAAGTTCTGTATTGTAAACCACATGGATTGCATGCATGTGGTAGTTCTCCCACACCTGGAAAGCATCTAATAGAGGTGTGGGTTAAAAAGGAAAGTTTATTGGGTTGGTTTGGGTTTTTTTGGGGGTTGCGTTCCTCCCCACCCCCCCTATTTTCCTCCGGGCATTCTCCCTTGGGAGTACATGTCAGATTTGCATCTCCTTGAAGAAGTGTTAATGCTGTTCTTTGATCTGCATAGCCTTTCCTATGTGGAGTGACTACAATCTAAAAGGTGGCAGTATTTAAAGGGAAAAGTGGAAATCCATATATGCCTATTCTGGAAATGGTAATCAAAAGGAGATATTACTTCTTTGTATCTGTTATTACTCTGCCACAGCTCTTCAGAGACACCTTGAGAGCCAGTGCACTTCTTTGTATCTGTTTGTTATTACTCTACCACAGCTCTTCAGAGACACCTTGAGAGCCAGTGGCAGATGCATGTTCCAAACACTCAAGGAGTTAGCATCTTTTAGTAAAACAACTACAATTTTCCCATCCTGTTCTAGTGATATAGCTTTTATATGTGTGTGTGTGCGCGCACATGCATGTGCGCAAATAAATACATGCATACACATATGTACAACTTTTTAACTCCTATTCATTAGATTCAAACTCTCATATATCCCTAGTTTCTCTATTGGATAATGTACTGAATGAAGGCTGGGATGGAATGATTTAAACTCTTCATGGTATCAGGAGAGGAATTTATTTTGGTCTTAGATTTTTCCCATCAGGGTGAAAAAGTCCCAATTCCTTTGGTGGCTATGTTTCATACTTGCTCTCTTTTATGGCCAGTATCATCAAGAGATCTCGGGCAACCTCTGCTGGAAACCAGGATGATAAATCTAGAAACATGCAAATTTTTCTTCTTGAAGACCACCCTGTGCAATCTCTGCTGTGTCAGCGTACTGGCAGCGAGGAGGTTTGAAGGGGCCCTAAAATACAAGATTTGGATAGAGGAGGGAAAAACTTTTTCATTCCTACCAAATTTTTGTACAGTTTCCTTTGTTTTTTCTGAAGACAGTATTGTCTTGCCCAATTAGCATCCCCCATAATGTGGGTGCAAATTTGATCGTAAAATGATAAAGAAGCAGTCCAGTTTCACTGCCAATGGAAGTAAGGTGGCATTAACTGAATTTTCATTTTCTCAAGTCTTCAAGATGACTTTTAATTAGCAGGAGGCATGAGTAAAGAGGAGAGAATATTTTAAATGTAGTTTTGACTGCCTTACATTTTAAAGGTCCTGTGGACAGGGCTGCCGCATTTGAAACCAATAATATACTGAAGAGAAGGGAATGGTGTCCTTTTGTTCGTGCAGGAACTTGTAAGGAATGAGCAAATATGTGCTTATGGAAGATATTTTGGAACATCAGAAATGCAGCTTTTTCTTTACAGTTGTCATGAAAGCTCTGGGAGTGAGCAGACGTGCAGGCATATAGCTCCTTTAAGCTAAGAGTATTTCTTTTCTTCTACTCAGGGTCAATTGAAAAAGGACCAGGAGTAAAACGTTTGAGTTCCCTGGATGATAAGATCCCACCCAAGTCACCCCGTCCGCGTCGGAATATCTGGTTGTCACGCAGTCAGTCAGATATCTTCTCCCGCAAGCCTTCCAGGAAGATAAATGTGCAGGACCCCTACTATACACCAAATAAAGGGTTAGGCCGGAAAGTTAATCCCTTCAGTGCCCGGGAGGACCTCAAGGGGGGGAAGATCAAATTCTTTGACATGCCAAGCAAGTCTGTGATCTCCCTTGTGTTTGACTTGCATTCTCCAGAGGCAGGTGGAGGTCTGAAAGCCAGCCAGTCCCAGTTCCGGCAGGCGTATAGCACAGACTGGCAAGAATTTTCCCTTCTTCCTGGGAGGAGATGCAGATCACTTCCTCTCTCCCCAGAATTGCCGCACAAGGAATATGGCCTATTTGGGGGACTGTCTTCAACTGTCAGCAGATGTGACCCAACCCAGCTAGGGGCAGAGGTTCGGCAAAAACTCCTGAGTAGCAGTAAATATGGTGTGTCAGAGATTCCCCCCTTTCAAGCCAAGCCTCACAGGCCAGAATTTCTTCCTGTACCAGGACAAGAAGAGGATATGGACTGTTCAGATGGGCCGGTGGCCCAGGAGGAAAATGGGTTTTGCCCTGTTGAGAACACATGTGGAGATCCAGCATGTCATCAACCATTAGTGCTGGCCCAGCCTGAGCCACTAACTTACAAGAAGCTCCCAGCTGAGAATTCAGTGAACTCTGGGGGACATGGCTCCTCACAAGTGTTTGCGGGTTGTCTCCCTTCTGAAGAGATGGAGGTGGAAGATGACCTGCTGAAAAATACTCCGCTAGAGTCTACAAAGCCTCTGTTCAGTGTTAGTCCTTCCACTGAGCTGAAGAGAGAGGCATGGCCCTTCAGGGAGCAGGATGGGGACAGTCCTGCCCTGTTGTCTCAGACCTCCTCCAATGTCTCAGCAAGTGGCAGCACACAGTCAACTTGTGACATATGAAGAAAGGGCTCAAACTGAATGTGTCCTTGAGAGAACAGTTGTTCCCAGTCTCTGTTTTTCTATAGTGCTGGGCTTCACATTTGAAAGAGACTCAGCAGATGGTAGAAACTGGCCATCAAACAGATAGCTGCAGACAGCGTCTGGAGAGACTTATTATTTTAACTTTATTTCAAACTGTGCTTATTCCTTTCCCTGATTTGCATTAGGAAGGGGAAAAACTGCAGCCAGAATGGCCATGTGGGCCTCACAGTCCTTCCAAGAGGCAGCAGCCAGAGCAGGCACCATTTAAACAGTTTGACCTGGATTACAGCATGGAGCATTTCAAGGCCTTAATCTCCATGTTGGGTAGAAAGAGTGACCCTTAGGTTTTTCCTCTTCCTCTGACTGACCAGCTGCTCCAAACCACTGCAGATTTTGCATTAACATTCTGCAGCAGTGCATGTGAGTTGGAGTCTCTGTTTCAGAAATGGGCACAGGGATCTGTCAGAGCTATGTTGAGCAGATAGGAATGCTTTCTGGTCCCGGAGCTGCTGTGAATGCTGTTGCAGCATTAAACAAGCTCTTCTTTCAAAAGCAGCAAAAACAAAATCCCTCATGCTGGTTGCAATCTGCAGGGTGAATCACATGACAAGTACTTTGCGATTAACAAGAAGAATCTGTTCTGTTCCCTGGTGTTCCATTTTCCCTTGGGATTTGGTAATGATGTGTAATATATTAGTGCAGGAAAGCAGGATGCGGTAAGCACTGCTCTCCTCCTTGCACAGCTCTTCATGTATCTCAACCCAAATGTGGAGGAAGATTTGCCCAGGGCACAAGAGGAGAGCCATATTCCAGGCATTGTAATTTCTGGGCTTCTGGAGACACTGGCAGTGAAAGTATCAGTTGTACTGAGCTTTTGGGAGATGTGGGCTCTTATCTCTGAAGAGCTGAATAGACATCATGATCTGTTTCTGCAGAATAGTTAAATACAATATGTAGATCACAGCTGACTTTCCACTAAACTAGAAGGGTCACATTCATCTCCCTTTCTGTTACGACATCCCATTTCATTGACATCACTGCAGTAACGATGGCTCCTTATTTAAAACCAGACTGCTTGACAGAGGACAGGAATCCCCTGTGCAGGGGAAGTTGCCAGCAGTGTTGCAGCCACACAAGTGCTCTTGGACGAGGATAGATGGTAGACTCACAGAAGGGCTTTGAATTGTCAAACTGAAGAAAATTAGCTTGTCCCAGATGATTTTTTTTCTTCTACAGAAAGAAGCTGCTGTCTTCATTGGCTTCTCCTGTCACTGAATAAGATGATCTTTTTCTTTTTTTTCTTTTTCCCTCCACCAGCAGGTACATATGAAAGAAGCAGCAGCATGAGCTTTAATGTTAATGCTATTTGTTGGAACCAGTATCAGAAATCCCCACTCTGGGATGTGATGTTTGGGAAGGCTTGTTCTGTGATGACATTTGTGCACCATCCTGCCCTTTTCCACTGTCGTCCCAACAACATGGGATTTTTAGATTTTTTAAATTTTTTTTTTAAAACCTGTATTATCATTCCTAACTGAGATATGCATTGCATGCCTGCTGAGCAGATGGTGATGCAGTGGAGACCAGAATTTCACCCAGGTAGCCTGTTACACTCTCTTCCTGCTCTTCTTAAGGATGGAAAATGAAAGCTAGTCTCTGATGGAAGCAGGAGTATTCCTACTCTTTTCCTATCTCAAAGAAAGGATGAAGGAGAAAGCCTTAGTTCTTTCTTGGCTGAGATGCTTATCCTTCCAGAGGCGTAGGTAACAATTCTGTGAGTTATAATTACAACTTCTTCTTGTGAAATGTGTTAACCTGAGCAGCAGTTATCCCTTTGCCGTGGCTGTGAAGAATTAAATGAGAAACCCAGCATTGCTGAGTTACTTAGCACAGTCCATGCCAGATCAGGCAGCTGTCAGCAGTCTGAAAGAGAAAATGCCTACCCTTACCAAGACCACCCCGGCTCACTTCTCTCTGCCTCTTGTAGGTGCTGATCTGTAGAGTCATCTGTCTTGTGTATCCTGTCTGCAGAGTTCAGAGCAGCTCATGTGGCTGGCACTCTGTGTGTCTAATTTCCTTTGAGGACAGGGAAACAGCAGAACTCGGTTGCCAGCTAGTTGCCTGCCTGGCTTCTGCCCCCCCCCCCACTTTCTCTTTTTATCTTTTATACAGTTGTAATCTTTCAGGAGGGAAACCATCAGCACCAGCTTCTGTTGTCACAAGATGCATTTAGGTGTGTGACTTCAGCCAAACAAGCAATAATAAGGAATAGTTTACTTCTGGATCACTAGGCTGCAAAGAAGCTGTCCAGCATCCTACACCTGCCTGCAGCTTCATTGGAGAGCACACTTACGCCTCTGGCTGCTCCGTGGCTTGCATTAGCCCTGGTTGTCAGTGCTGACACCTCATCACAAAGCCTATTGCCCACTCTGATGCTGACTGCAAAGCCTGTGCAGTCAGGCTTGGGGTACCTCTATGGCAGCCTTTACAGTGACCTCACCTTTTTCTTACACCACTGTCTCTTAAAATGTTTCTCTGCTCTCTTACAAAGCAACATGGATAAAATTTTCTTAAATGTCCACCGTAAGCACAGCCAGCTGACACACATAGGGCATATCTATCAACTTTTCTAGCTCTGTACTGAGATGGAGATGTCGGAGAAATGCCAAGGAATAGCAGCTCAGGCCTTTGCTGGATTCATGGTCTGCATGGGAAAAGAGGCGTGTGTAAGAAACTGGAGTAAAAGGCCATTTTAAAATAGCTAAGTGCTTGCTAAAACCCAGTGTTTCCAAGGGTCTGGATGCAGTTGGCACTCATTAAGTCTCATCCCTTTGGTTGTGTAAAGCTGAATCTAGGTTGCACCTAGTAAATACTCCTAGGTTTTCTGCATACCTGAGGGTGCTTTTCTACTGGGGGCCATTTTCTGACAGGTACTGATGAACATGGACACGAACATGTGGTCAGCAAACTCCCTGTTTTATAGTGATGTGACAAAGTTTTATTGTGATTGGATTTTATCATGATTTTTGACTTTCTTACGGGAGCAGTTCTTGCTCTTTTAAAACACTTTCTACGCATTGCTAGGTTCCCCGAAGAGATCAAAGATATTTTTAATTCACTTTAAATCTTTCTATGTTGAATTCATTTAAATGTCTGTTATAAGCTATTTTTGTTGAGGTTGCAGGTTGATAAAATGCAACTAAGAGAATGCATGTGAATTGCTGCCCCTCAAAAGCAGTGCAGACAGGGGCTGTAGTAGACTTGTACTTGTTGGGAGAGGCATTGATGTATAACAGAACCTTGGTATTTTTTGCCAGTACAACTAAAGACACTTGAATAATTCCTGTTTGCACTTAATGCTATTGTTTATATTGCATGTCACTACATTTCTATGCAAAACAAATAACCTTTTCTGGGGAGGAGAGGCAGCCAGATATTTGATTAAGTATAAAGATCTTTGCGAGATGATCTATTTTCGTATTTATGAAGGAGTTTTACGTCTTAATATTTTGCAGTCTGTAAATAGCTCAATGTGTAATTAAAGGCTTAGGAAGAAGTTTGTAGCCTGTGTATAATAGTAAGTTAACACTGCCAGAAAAAAAAAAATCTTTGCAAAACAACTTTTCTAATATTGTGGATATTTATGAATATGTAAAGAAAGCACGTCTTGTTTTTATGTTGATTGACCTTCTGACTTTTTTTGAACTATAGAAAATGGTGTATGTTTTATTGGAACTGCAATAAGAAGTAACCAAAGATGAATCCAGTTAATATTTTCATAATTTTTTCTTGGTCAGGTTTTGTAAACTTTCCCAACCTGCTTTCAAAATAAAAATAAAATCAAGGCCTGAGTCTTGTGATTAAGAGGGCAACCCTAGGTTAAAAAATCTGGCTCAAATGCTTATTTAAGCTATGGATGGCATTAATATTCTGGCTTGAGATCGTATTCGCTATTACTCAGTGCTGAATTGTAAACAGGGAGAACTACAGTGTTATTTCGCTCCTGCATCTTACTGCAGTATCATACTATTAAATCCATGAGACTCAAGGACTTATTTCTGCTCTGCCTTACAGTGCTCTGAAGAGTAGGCAGTAACTTGTGACCTAGAAGACAAGATGGCTTTTGTTAGCACTAACTTTTGTTAGCCATTGCGGCTGCTCTGTTCTAGCCCTAGAGAATAGCTTCAGTAGCACAGGAAGCAGCGCAGTTTGAGGACTACACCTGGCTTCAAGTCCCACTGCATCTCCCCTTAGTTTGAAGTTTGAAGAGCTGCTGTGGCTTGGTTCTGCACGCAGGTACCCTGCACTAGAATCAGCTGACCCATTTGGGACGAGAGGCTTTCTTCTTCCTCTCTCTCCTGTAGGAGCAAAAGTCTTGCCTATGCATGCTGTAACCAAGGTTAAGGTAAAGTACAAATACAAAGTGGGATAGCTCTCTCAGGTGCATGTTCTAAACCAACCATGGCCAGCACGTATTTTATTTTTAAAAAAAAAACAAACCACAACACGTTTTCCCTTCTTGACTTCCTTAGAAAGACAGGAAGTAATTTTCAGGGTTATAGGGAATTGCCCTACCAACAGTGACTGAAAGCAGTAACGCTTGACTAAATGTTCATAAAAATGTATGCTTTGCCTGAAGAGCTAGCCTGCTTTCATCTGGTGTCTGGCAGAAGCATCCCCCTCCAGTGACTGTAGCGTTTTCTATCGTGCTGGTTGTATGGATCAACAGCTTGGAGCTTTCAGATGTGTTTTTGTAGATGGACTTTGACCTTTAGCACATGCCCCTAAACCACTAGGTTAAGTGGCAGGATGTAGCAAGGCTGTAGGTGCAGTAAGGATAAAGGAAAGATCTGGGAGGAGACTGGGGCTCTAACATGCTACCAAGTTTTAAGTGGGAAGCTCTGGCCTCCGTCTCCTCTTGTTATCAAGTGATTACCCTCTTCATCGTCTGCAAGAAGTGAAACCCATGCTAAAGCAGCTAGCATACTGTCTTTCCAGAAAGGCAACCCTAGGCTGTTTTTTTTCAAAACCCACTTCAAGTTTACAGCACGAAACTGAAATTTGCAGCCCTGGGTGCAGTTGGAGAGGTGCAATTTTCCTCCCTCTTCTCCAGCCCACCCCTGCCTTCACAGCCCAGCATGCCAGTAAGGAACAACAGGGGGAGCTCCAGTGGACAGCAATTTAATCCGTCAGAAGTTAAAACAAAAACAAGATTAAGAAACTTGCTTCCCTTCTGGTCAGTTCTTGATGGAATAAAGAACTTAAAAACTTGAGGGGAGGAAAAAGAAGCCCGGTTCAGTGAGGAGTCCTCTAGCTCTATCCATTGGCCCAGGCTAACTTCATCTTCTGGCTGTGAGCTTTGGAAGATTTAGAAAACAAGCTCTTCACTATTTGAAGTGGCATCGATTTCCCACTGAGGTACAGTTTATTGTGGCACTCTGGCAACCAGGGCCTTTCACCAGTGTCCGCATCTTTTCCTTTCTTGAGCATCCAGACATAAGCCATGATATAGCCGGTCATGAATGCATCAAAGCCAGCTCGGTGCGTGCCCCCCTGTGAAGGTGGACTGTGGGTTTCCTTTTCTGCAGCAGATGCTGCTTCAGTCTCAGGGATGCCTGGGATGACTGAGCCCACCACAGCAGGAACCTCCGATTTCCCCTCCACTTGGTCGCTGTCAGAGGCATTTCCCTTGGCAGAAGGGCTCACAGCAGCTGCCACCTGGGCAGCAGTTCCTCCAGTGCTCCCCAGATCCTCTTCCCTTTGTGTGCTGGTGTCTGAGCTGACCTCCGGTTCCATGTCCGTGGAGTTCTCCTCCAGTGGCCTGCCCTCAGTGTTGGGTGTGATCTCTGCCAGCTCCATAGCAGCTGCAGGCTCATAGCAGCTCTGTTTTCGTGGCGGTCCCTCCTCCCCATTCTGAGCTAGCTCTGTTTCTTTTCCTGAGCTTTCCTGTTCAAATGCCTTTGCAGGCTCTTCTGTATTCTTCCGACGTTTCCATTTGTGCTTCCGCTTCTTCCGCTTCTCCTCCCAAAGCCTGTCATCCTCATCAATTATGAGGTCAATATTATGGGACTGTGGACACTTCACTCCTTTTGGACACCAGCCATAGGCCTAGGGAGAAAGAGAGAAGTCTGTAGCCACCAGCCTCCTGGTCAGAGCAGCTTATTACCGTAACGTGGAGCAGAGCTAATTATTCCCCTCTGCTGAGGGCTTGTGAGGCTGTAGCGGGAGCACTGTGACCAGTTACAGCCCCACAACACACAAGAAAGGCACCGACAAACTGACACTGAGCACAGCCAGGAGCTGTCAAGAGAGATTTTCAAAATTTACTAAACAAGGCTCTGAGCAATATTGGGTGGCTGGTTGGATGAGAAACTACCAAAGGTTTCCCCAACCTATCTTGTTCTGTGACAATAATGTGCAACACCTGGAAGAGTTCCTTTTCTCCCTGAAGCATCTGAAACCAGTTATGATCTGATCAGATGGGCTCTTTGTTTACTGCTCTAGTGGCACCAGGACTTGAGATTGTGTGGATCCTGCTGTGCTACAGTGCCAGAAGCTGCAGACGGGTAATGTTGGTTTATATCTCATCAAGACATGGGAAAGGAAAGAGGCAGCGTTTCTTGCTCAGAGGGACAAGCCAAACTAATTTAGCACTTACAGCCCTCCCAAGAGAGCAATAGGTTCTGTAACTCCTACCATCCCATTCTTTAGGGCCATATAATCTCTTAAACCTTCATGTCTATCGTAGCCTGTGGAATTCACTGCCTCCAAACAGAGCACCACAAAGCCACCTAAAGCTTGAAAATCTTCCTTGTATGGTGAAGCAAGCAAGGGGAAGTTCCCAGGTGCTCTCCTACCATTTCCTGCTCTGGCCACACGTCGCTCTTTCCATGGAGCCAGGAAGGAAGCAGGAATTCATGTTACTTACTGAAAATTTCTCACAGACGGGCACCTTATTTCCCCCTCCCACATTGTGGCTTTCTTCTTCCAGAGAGCAATGGCGATAGTCGATGTAACGGGACATGTTGGCAGGGTAGTTGCAGAACTCAACGGTGAGGTGCTGGCTGCTGGAGTCCTTCAGCTTGCCGTTCTCTCGCTTGCTGGAACAAGCAAGAGCACACAGTTACTGCAGTTTGCTCGCTGAAGGTACTGCAGTGCGGAGCCAGCGCAAACATGCTGCTATCCACAAGTCTCAACCCCATGGGTATCCTGCTCTTGACAGCCTGCTGGAAAGAAACCCAGCCCCGGGAGAACAGCTTTAGTAAGTAGCTGTTTCTGTGCCGATTTAAAGGTTGGTTTCTCTTATGTGGACATACAGGCAGGGACAACAGCATCTCTGGTGAAGCTCTGGGAGAAGGGGGCACATAGCTCGGCTCTAAATATTAAAGGCACTAAGATAGGTCTCATAATTAAAGACAAAGACATTAAAGACAAAGAGGTAACACCCCAAAATGAGGTATCACATAGAGTGTCCGGCAGCTACCGCCCAGGCAGGTCGAACCTGGGCAATGTAGACAACAAGGAAATGTTTTCCATCTCTTGGGGGAAAAAGGAACTGTTTTGTCCCAAGAACTGGCAAAAAGGCCCAAAACCTTTGGAGGGCTCCATATAACTAGAATTGTGGGTTAAAACATTTAAGAGCTCAATTTAAAAAGTATTTTTGTCTTGCCAAAACAAAGCATTCTCATGTTTGAGAACAGCCATCTTTAATGTTTTCAGACCTGTCAAATGGCATTTCCTGATCTAAAACAGTCACTAAAAGAATCGCTTCTCCTCTGCATGGAGTGTGACATCAGCTTAATGGAGACTCAATGTATCGCTGCCGGGGGCTTGTTTAGATTGCATGGGGGGTCAGATTGACAGGTGGAGACAGACATGTCTGCTCCAAACATGTGTCTGCCCGGAAGAAATCCACGAATTGCTGGCAGCAGGAAGCAAGAGGGGACGCCCTGGAACAAGAGCATAGCCTTTGCTGGGAAGGAAAGTGATGGGAGTTGGAGCTGGCCGCACGCAAGTGTCACGTGTGGGACACGTGACAGGGCTGGTCAGCGTCGGGAGGCGCAGGGAGTGCGCACCCTGTACTGCACCGTCCCTTACAAAACCAAATTACAACCAGCAGACCCGGCGGGCACGGCCCCGTTTTCACTTGGTTCTCTAGCTGAGTTTTAAGGGTTTCCCTTCTGCATGCGTTCCTGCTGCGCCCCTGTGGCACCGCTGGACCAGGGCCATGCAGTGAATCAATTATTTTTCAGTTAGATCAGGTCACTGTGTGGTCAAAACTGCTGCCAGCAGAAGACAGAAATCCTCTTTCAGCAGCTGCCCACCAAACAGGTGAGGCCCATTACAAAATGCACCCTTATGAACTCGGCATCTCTCCTAGAAATGGGAAGAGCATGGGGCAGTGTCACCTGAAAAGCACCTTTCTTCGCTCACTGGGGTAACGCAAAGACCTTTGCCTAAAAAACCCCCCACAAAACACTGACGCTCCCTTTGCCTTGCCTCCCATAAGCTTTAAATACCAGAGCACTGCTCACCACTTCTTGTAGGCATACTCCAGGTAGGATGCTACAAAGCGAGTCTCAAACTCTGAAGCATATTTGGTGTCGTATATTCCCGCTGGAAACATTTCCGAGAGGTCAGCGGTGAAGGTGCCGAGGTTGTCTGGGAGGTGAGCATAGAAGCACTGGTACAGGAAGACCAGATCGATCAGGCCGTTATGGAGAATGAGAGGCTTCTTCGCTCGTATGAGCTCCAGAAAAAAAGTCCGAACGCTCTGGCTCTGGTTCTCATTGCCCTGCAAGAAGAAGGATTGGTCGACGAGCCTTACGCCTTGGCTTGCCGTCGCCCCGGGAAGCCCTCCGAGCTTGCTGCAGCAGCAGCAGCGTGACTGCCTACAACGCTTTCTTGCTCTCACCAAACAGAGGCCTGAATATTTGCAAAAGCAACGGCAACAAATGACAACCTGGATATAAAACAGCGGGGAGGTGAAAGGGATAACGCTGCACGCGAGAGCCCAGCGTGAGCCCACCCTGGCTCAGCAGCTGCGCGAGGGAGAGGCCGGGACCAGGGGAAGCCAGCAACCCTGGAGCCTGGAGCAGAGCGAGCTGAGGTGTCTGGAGGAGAGCCGGTTTGTACCTTGTCGTTGCCCTTGTGGTAAGGAATGCCCCGGGAGTACTGCTTGTTGAAGTCAAAGCCGTGCTGCACCAGGAACTGCACCGACTGGGGTTCGACAACGTAATCCTCCATGCAGAGGAGCGTCAGGTTGTAGATCTGGCAGAGATAGGTGTTCTCGGGCTGCGGGGGGGAGCGTGCAAAGCAATACCGGGACGCCCGTCAGAGGGAGCTG